GTGTTTTTTAAAAAAATTTCTAAAAAAGGGTTGATGTAAAAAAAATCATATTAATTCCATTTTTCAAGTTGTCTAGATAATACTTAATCATACGCACGGAATATGAGAGAGTATAATTAAATTAGGAAAGATGAGTACAGAACAATTGTTTAAAGTTATTTGTTAATTTATGTCTTCAAAATATTTTATTTATCCCTATAATCAATTAGTTCATTCCTAGCAATAATCCGATTTATAATATGGTTCAAACATGCAAAAGGAGACCACATACTAGAGAATCCCTCTCACAAAGATGACGAATTTCCCTGCCACCATAGAAACTGCATTAATAATGAAGACTCATTAAGAATGGGTACCGATAAGTCACACGATTTTTTTTTTAAAAAAAGAGCTGGCCCGGTTTGATTCGAGCCAATGCTTGGATTAAAGAAAAAGGATAAAAATAATCTCAAATTATTTTCCATCAATCAAAATTTGTTCTTCAACATCACATTTTACGAAATCGAGTCACAAATTTTGACACAAACAAACAATTGAATCACTGCAATCAAAATCTATTACACATATCATTTGCATGCATTAGAAGAGAATAGAAGAAGATGAACAAAGAAAAAAACATGTAACAGGTTATCGTCTCTACCATAGTGAAAGAATAGATCACCCTCCCTGTCTCCGTTGCAGCCAACCTTGTGGAGGCTAGATCAGGGTGATGGTGACGTAGAAGTGCCCCGCTCTCCATCATTGGAGCAACCTGCACTCGCCATCCTGGATAAGTCCATCCGCCTTCCATGTCAAACGGGCCCCTACGCACAGTTCTGGCCACCCCAAGCTCGTGGTGGCTGGATATCCACCCTACCTCCACATTTCCCTCCCTTCTCCTCAACGGCGTGTAAGAGATAGTGACGCTATGGTCAGCTCCAACAACCCAAGCTTAGGGGAGGAGGAAGAGACGGCGACTACATAGCGGTGCAATGTCAATAAGGAGGACGTGGTGTAGCATTGCTAGCAGAGGAGGAAGAGATGTTAGCGACACAGCTAGGAAGGAGACACGTCGGTGGCGGTGAGGAGGAAGCAGTGGCACAGCCAAGAAGGAGGTACGATGGCGGAGGAGAGAGGGAGTGTGTGAGCTGGGAGAGAGGGTTTCAAGGCGCTTAAAATAACCGATGACTTAGTGAATGTTCAGCTCTGCTCTCTTGATCCATCCTATTGGTGTTGCTTTAGTTAAAAAAAACGGTACCGATATTATTAGTGTCCAACTTTTTAAAAAGATAATCACCGATGAGCCGTTACCAGTTTTATATTTAAGGCTCCGCTTAAGAGCTGAGACATACAAGAAGAAACCAGCATATATGAGTTATCCCCGCCTATTAGGAGTTATGTAGTACCCTACGTATAGAGTGTGTTCCTCTCATGTGGCCTAGAGGTAGCTTGCTAGGTCGGTGGGACCGTGAAATGGACGTGAGCTAACCTTTGGCAGTGCCTCGGTTTTGTTCATTCTCTCGCACTCACGGATTGTGCTGGGGAAGTAAAATGCAGGGAAGAGACAAAGGGCAAGAGACAGCTGATAGGCATGCAGGTAGGCAGGCGGTGAAGGCAAATCCGTCGTGACTCGTGAATGCATCGATCCTACTGTTCGATCGGGAAGAGGAAGAGCGAATACCTATGTGTGCCTGTGTGGTAGTGTTAGCTTGCGCCTCTTTCATTTTTGCTTTCACATATTGAAAGATGCATATGAAGAATCGATCGAAGACATCCAAGAGTCTGAATGTCTGAGTCTCGTCTTTTGGGTTCAGATAATTGAAGTTGCATGCCACACCCTTTTCGATCATGGAAATGGAAGTTGCAGCATATGACACTCAGTTCCTATATATGACACTCAAGCTGATCGGTGACAACTGACAAGCGAGGCAGCCTGCCAAGTAATCCATCATTCCACAGGCTCATGCATAAGCCTCCTTTGAAAAAAAAAAGAATTTTAGGGGACTTTTGAACGATTGAATTCCTATGAAAAAAAATCTTATATGGTGTTATGTTTTTCCTAGCTATTGCTGTGTTTAAATCCTGCATTTCAAAGGAGTCCACATAGCTTTCTTACTTTGTTGTTTCTACTGCTTTCCATTTGTGAAAAGAGTAAATAAAACATGGGCCATCTTGGTGACTTGGAGTGATATCTGTAGTATCGAAATGCAAGTGGCACCATGCCCGTATCAGTCACGGTCTTGAGCTGATCTCTGCATGGGAAAGCATCTACAGTCATGCAACGACAATTGCCTATTGCCACAGCCATGAAACTTCAGTCGTCCTAACTTATCCTGTCAGAGGCAGATGCGTCCGTTAACCCTATCAAATCAATATCAAAAGCATGGACTAGTCATGGGTAGTATTCCTACGTAGAAGCAACCACACCTTGTTTATTATCAGCAAGCTCATGACTGCAAGATAGGATTAGGCAGAAACAGAGGTGCTCGATCTAAGTAAGTTGTACTATCTAACACAGTGACTGAACATCGTGGATTGCATGTTAGCCCTGAGCTAGAAAAAAAGCATTTGAGTATGACAAATCCGGTGTCATATGGTGGTCAAATGATCAACTACTCCCTCCAATCACAAGTGACATTTTAAAATACGTGTAATCAAGACCATAGATATTATTTTGAGTATTTCAAATTCAACTGTTAAAAATGGTACGGTTAGATCTATCTTAAAAATAGTTTAAAATATTATAACTTTGCTATTTTTCCAAATCTTTATACTAGAAAATTCATAATCAAACAAGTGTCCTGATGACCATGTCGATATGTCCAAAACTGTCACTTATTAGTTATTTGTTTCTGGGGATTCTTCACCTTGTCCTGCAGCTCCTCAGCTTTGCTAGTCTCAGTGAGAAAGCATCTAGTGTGTTACTTGCACTGCTTCACATCCTCTCTGTTCTCTGCATAGAGACAATTCTGTCATTTCAAGTTACTTCCAAATCTCTTGTGCCATGTCTGCACCGGGACATTTGCTCAAAGCTGCCACCCTTGTCTATTGTCCTGATCTACCAGTAGAGACATGCATGCATGACACGACCCAATAATTTGATATGCTGAGACATATCCTGTCTAGCAAACGATGACAAAAAGATGCCAAAATGGTTAGTTCAATCTGAATTCCAGCAGAGATTAAATTGAAGGATTGTCTCAAAAAAAATTTGAAGGATCTTTTTTGCGCTAGGAACAGGAGAAATATATATATACGCACAGGGAAATCTGTGTAAGATCTGCATGAAGAGTAAGCGAAGGTAGACGATGAAATCAGCATGGTCACGACTGACGATGAGCAGAAATCTTGGGAGGAAGAATTAATGTTAGGTGACGCTGAAGAGTAATCGAGAAGAAGTTCCCGATTTCGTGGTTGTGGGGCTTAGATGTTTGCAGTGTAGCAACAAAAGATTGCGTCCTTCACCTCACTCGTTTGTCGCGCAGAAGTCGTAGCAAAACTTTAGACAATTAATCCGACGTGATGAGCCAACGGTATCTGGATAGGGATATGCACGAGGGCATCATCAAGTATATATATGTCTACAACTGCTGTGACCTCCTCTAATATATGTAAGAGAAATGTCTCTTACGTGTATTCTATGAGAATGAGTTTCACTTGTCCGGGACTCACGTCCCTCTAACTTTACGTCTGAGAAGCTCCTTCTCTACAACTATAAATCTGCATTTCGAGGCTTCTGTGGCGGAGCGTTTTTTTAGAGCAGTCCAAAGTATCTAAACTCGATGGAGGCTCACAAACTCACAGAAGAAATTTTTGCATGTTCTTGTTTCAGGGGTCTCACCTACACCCACTCTTCCACTCCTACACTTGGCGGCTCAAGCCATACTGCCATCAGCCTATATATATATTTAGAAAAAGTCTGTTTTGAATCTCATGACTATGGTCCAAGTCTAATTCATATGGCTCAACCATAAAACCAGTTATGGAGACTCCGTTAACTATTAAAATCAATTCATTTTAAGGAGGACAGTGCGGAGGAAAGGAGTGAGGACGAGAGTTGAGAGGTAGCTTGTGGCGGTGAGGAAATGGTTGAGGAGGACCCAGGTGAGGTGGCCTAGAAGGGTGATGTCAATGGCAGAATTTGTCTTGGTGCCGTTAGTGTCGACGTGTGATAGTAAGGAGTGGAGGTGGCAGCAACAGGCAGAGGGATCAGAGTAAGCAACAGCCATCAGGCATCTAGCGCCGACACGATAACTACAATGCTGGCTAACGGGGGCGATGAAGGGAACACTAGTGAGTATAGTGAGTATGGCCCATGAGAAACGCAACGCCGATGACCGGTCAAGGCGGCTGAGCGGTGAGTAGGGGATGAAATAGTGCCACACTCAATATTGGTGGAGCGGAGCGGAGTTGAGTCATGGTAACTATCTTTTATATAGATGGATATAACTTTTTCCTTATTCTGCCCCATATTTTCATATTTTCCTTTCTTTCCCAACTAACTTCGTTCATTAAAAAACAGATAACTTCTTCCCTTCAAGCATTTTCTTTTCAGTTTAAAAGTTAATTTATTCATATTTTCTCATATTTTCATATGGATTCGGATGCGCACTCGGATAGTGCCACCTAGAACAAAATCTCTGTTAAAACCATTTTGGGAGGAAAAAACTAGTAGAGGGAGCCTTCAGATCTGTTTTTGTAGTGGAGGGATAAATCAAACTTGGAAACTAGTTGACGAAGGGATGAGTCATTCTGCATTGAACCCAGTAGAACCGTGGACTGGGTCACATTAGCAACCTTAAAGAATTGGCGACGCATGTTGTGCTTGCTTGGTACTCCGGCTTACGTAATAATGATATAATAACCGCGCTGAATTAACGAATCTCAAATCTCAATCCCACGCATCACAACAGCCAAAGTGACCCCATCAACGTGAGAACGATTCTAGCATACGGAACACGTAACACAGACGAGCCCTCGTAAAACTAATTAGCTGCGCATTTTTCCTAATGCAACAGAACTTGCACACAAGGCCAACATGCAACTTTTATACACAGTATAATATGTGAATATGAAATTAATATGTACTTTAAAAGCATTCCCAAGACACAGGAAATTAAAACATAGTCAGCGGCATTGCACACACGGCCAGGTATCTCTCAGCAGTCAGAAATAATAACGATACTGAACTGCACTGCTTCTGCCTCGATTTCATTTTTTTTTTGGGGTCTCCCAGCCACGATGAGACCAAACTAACAACACCTATTGTTGATCCTCAAACTCATGGCCATGATCCAAAAGATAGTTGGCAGCCAGCTCTTCATCCTTGTTGCATGCGAAGAAGACCTCCAAAACGAGCTCACGGTTGAACCCCATTGCCTCCAGCTGTCAAGAAAGTATACATGAAAGTTTACAAGGAAACTCGAAAACCATGCTGATGATTAAATCAATGAAAAAGCTGTTATTTAAGGATGCCATTGTCTCAACAAAAGAACTAATAATAGAACAGGCTCATGTTAAAAGAACAGCCCTAACTGGTTATAAAATTTAAAATATCCATTCAATGGTTATAAAACAAAAGTTCAAATTTAGAACTTTCAAAAAGGACTAATGGGTATTTTGGGTAAGTTTCTTGATGTAAATCACAAATTGGACATAAGTGTCAACATTTGGAAACTGAGGTGTGAAAATTTCAGAAGCAGCGAATTGTCTTTCATTAGAAAATCCAAAATAGCATATAAAGCAAACATACCCGCTGAATGGCCTCCCGTTCCTCTGGAGTAACTGTAAGTGCCTGTGGCATAGCGGCTGCTAGTTGACCTAGTATGTTTCTGATTTACCAGAGCGTATAAAATGTAATGTAAATATTGTATGTGTATCAATTAGAATATAATACATGTTTTGTAGTTCTCTTGGTTCTTACCCCCCAGCAGCGCCGCTATCAGGAGATTCATTCACCAGACGGAGAAATTCAGCCTGATTTTCCTGAATCAACCGCAAGATTTGCGGATTCTGCTTCCCAAGCTCTTGAAGCATTGGCTGTGAATCAACAGAATTGCTCAAGTCACATAAAATAGCATATGCACTGGCATTTTAATGTCTACAAAGAAAAAGAAAAGCAACAAGAAGCTTATGAGTTGATTTATATTAGCACCTGCAAGATTTGGGGATTAGCCTGGACCAATGCAAGCAGCGCTTGGAACTGAGCAGAAACAAGTAAATAGCTGTTAGGGCAATGCATTATTTTAACAAGTATAAAAGTTACACCAACATATAATAATACCTGTGGAAGTTGTCGCAATGCATCAAGGGCACCAGCACCGGCACCGGCACCAGCAGCAGCACCAGGATTTGACCCAGCACTTGGAATGCCCTAAACATATTTTAAAAATCATGTTTTCAAAACAAACACAATAGCAAGCAAATAGAAACAAAATTCCAGGAAATACAGCAGTTTCTGTGAAACCACTGGTTTAATAAAGCAAAAGCAACTTTGCTTTTGTTCCACACAGACTTTAACTCAAAACATCCAAGCAACATATAGGAAAACTACAAATATGGGTGACAGTTACTGGTAATATCAGCTCTACCAACACCCATGAGGAATACGCGTAACCAGCTAACCAGAATTTGAACCCAGAATATGGATACATTGGACTATGCATTGTCAAAAGTCAAAACAGGTGCTGAACTGCTTGTATGTATATGTGCCAGTGCAAAATACCATGGATGTATGGAACTAACAATTCAAAAGCATATAATACGATGCCGGATGTCCTGAAATTGTCTTACCCAAGAACATCAGTGCTAATGTTTTCAAGAATATTCTTGACAAACTGATGATGACAGCTTCCTAATAAGATGTTAACTGGTCTGCCTCGATCCTTAGACTTACAAGCAGTCCAGAAGTTGGAAACATTTTGGTTTCTTATAAAACTAACCTCCAAATATAAAGGTAGCAATTTACATTTACACATACCTGGGGGAATAGGTTTAGAGGATTCGCATTAGGTCCTGAGGCACCACCAGCTGGCTGCACAGGCGGTGGAGGTGCAGCCTGAGCCTGAGATGGAACCTGTGGATTTCCCTGTTGAACAGCAGCAGGTGCTCGAGCCACAGGTTGTGGGGGCTCCACATTCTCAGGAATTCCCTAACAGATGAACCAGAGTACAACATCAATAGTTGAATTTTATGCACAGTAAAATTAACATTGGATTATAATTTGGTTACAAACAATGTAAGAAAATTGGATTGAACTCTCTTGTTCTATATAAATTTTAAAACTGCTGGGCGTTGCCCTTGCTGAATTCTCTTTAAAAACATAAGTTCTTTAAATGAGTTTTCCAATTCCCCATCAGCATAGAAATGTGCATTTGTGAAAAGAAATTATCAAACGTGGAACTTACAGAATACAGATAGTCAATAGCTCTCTCAGGGTTGTTATATGCAGCACGCAAAGCACGGACAACCATGTCACGTTCCCAGGTGCCACCACCCATGTCAAGAATTTGTTGGATTGTCTGTTCTAGGTTGCTACCTGAAACAAGATTTGATGCAGCCTGACTGTAGACATCCGCATCACTTCTGTTTATCATAACAATAAAAGGGAAACATTAATATGACATTAAAAGAGGAATCATCACAGTGGACGTGAAACAAAACCAAATCCAGGAGCTTTGTAAGTTTCAAGATTACAGATGAATCGAGCAAGCTGAGCACCATATGTGTTTATGCCAAATATACACAACTACGTAGTCTTAACTTTAATTCATAAATCTTACCAACAAAAAATAATATGGACAGTACCAAAACGTTCTGGTTATAAACAAATCAGTTGTGTTCTATTTTTTTGACCAGGACAATCAGTCATGTGATGTTCTAAACATGATACCTATACAATGTGAATTGCTGAATCTTTAAAATTCCATAAATACACTTGTAAAACTATTCTACTGTTTAGTATAGTGTTATCTATTATAGTTGCAGTGCAAGTTACAAATATGTAGTAAAGACAAATACGGGCTTGTTTGGTTTGAAACCCTACCAAAATATTGGTAGTACCAAACCTTGGGCACATTTTGGCACTACCAAATTTTTTATAGTACAGATTTGGCTCCACTCTATTGATTTGGCAAAATTTGGCTCCAATCCAAAATGCTAACATGTACTATTCAAAACTACCAAAGAATTGGTAGGGAAAGAATTGGCACCAAACCAAAATGGCCCTACATTAAATGCCTACAGAAGTCAAAGCCACAGTCCAGAAACATTGTGTATAGTGTATGACTGTACCACACACTAGCTTATGGTATGCCTAATTTTTTTAGCATTCTTTAATTGTCTATTAGTTTACAACATGCTGGAGAAACATTTCAGGATGCCACATTGAAACTCATCGAGTGATAAATTTCTACACCATGGAGTTACAGGAACATTAATGGAACTATTCCTAAAACTGGATCATTGTTTATAGAAACTAATCTAGACATGACAACAGATGATGTGGAAGAAAATAGAATGCAGCAGTTAACAGAATCCTGTTCCATATACATCTTTGCACAAGTGAAGTACAAAATATAAGTTCATTCAAGGCCAGAATCGAATTGTCTCGTGCAAAATTCCTATCAAATTTATTGTGTTCCAAACAAACACAGGGACCTAATAAAAAATTGAAATAATGGATCCAAAAGGGAGCTTACGATGCGGTCACAGCAGCAGCTGGAGTGGCAGCAGCAGCTGGAGTGGCAGAAGCAACTGGAGGCTGTGCACTTGGAGGTGCCCTACGAATGACATGATAATAAATAAGGAAAACAATATTTGACATTATACAAATTAGAGGAATAGATATAACTCACGGTTCAGGTGTAACAACAGGTGCTTGTGGAGGTGGTGTTCTTGCAACTGAGGCAACTGGAGTTGCTGGTTGAGACTAGTGCAAATAAACAGTAAGGAATTTTCAGGTCATGAACGAAACAAAGACACTCAAAAGTTATGCAGAAATAACAAAATTACATGATGAACATATTCAATTGCTTTTGAACCTAAAATCAGCTAAAGCTAAAACAAAAACAAAATGACAAATTATACCTTTCCATAATCAGAAAATAAGATTACTTTCTTTACAGCTCTCTAAGCTCTTGTTGGTTCTAGTCATTAATCACATGAATTGGAGATGTGCAACAATTTACGAATTAACAAATGGAAAAATTACCAGGAAAATAACAAATTTTCAAACAAGAGATGAAGGTGCATAACAGAACAGAATATATTTATCCCAAATACTGGATACCAAAAAAAAAAGAGAGGAGTGCAGGTTGAATCCCTAACTAATTAGATAAAACTTTTTCATATGAACAGAGACACGCAGAGATTATTGACAGAATTATATATGCCAATAAAATTACCTGGCTCACAGGTGCCTTTGAAGCAGTTGAAGCTCCACTTGATGATGCTTTGGCCTGAAATTTTATACATATTCAACAAGTGATTAATATTCACAGAAAAATGAATAATTAAAAGAGCTTCAAACTACACTTCCACCGTTAATTTCAGCAGAATTTAAAATGTTAACATAAGATCATCAGAGGTCAAAGGCTCAAAGAGCAGTCGAGATATCATTTAGAACTCAGGCAAATCATGGAATGTTCTTCACCTAAACATGTTAATTTTAGCCTCCTGGACATAACACAAACGGCTGTTAAAACTAAAAAAAAAAAGGTAATTACTTCCTGTAATTAGAGGGTGTATTTAACAGCAATAAATATCATGCAAAGCTTGCACCCGTATTTTGCATATCAATGATTTGTTCGGGTTTGATGACACAACACAAAGTTTGGGCTCTGATTTTGGCTATCGGATGGGAAGAATACCCCAATCACACAAAAGTTTGCATCCCATACATTTAGCAATTCATTCAGTTATAACATTACAATTTAAAGAAATATCTAGTATGAAACTGCAGCATTAACCAAAAAAAATACATATATTCACTAATAATGTACACATAATAGCACGATTATAAAAAGCTACAAGGCCCAGCTTAAGGGAAACAAAGCCACAGTATTCAAAATATGGCATGATTTTACTGCAAATTATCAAGAATACTCTGGTCTGCAAATACCCTTATTGTCTAGCTGTAAATAATAATTTAGAAGGGTAGTTACTGCTAAACAATCAAATGCCATTAAACAAGATCATCACATACCTTAGACAGCATTATAACAAGGAAGCTGTTCTCAGCAACTTTGTTGCCTTCCAAAGTTGTATCATCCTTGAGAATTTTCCCTTGGTGTATGAGCATCTGCTGATCCGCCGGGTACACATTCTGCCCCTGAGTACTCTCAATGATTCTCTTCACCTCAGCCACCTGCAAAACAGAGCTAGCTGTAAGTATAAGGCACAAATAGTCCCATATCCAAGCATACACACATTAAACATTGCAGCATCAACCACATTGACAACAGCCAGGTTCTAATTTCCAAAACCATCTCCTACAGATGCCGAGTTCGAATTTCTACCAAAAAAACATCTACACATGTAACTTAAACCGATCAGTTCACAACAAGCCGAATTAGTAGCACACGACTCAGATTACAACCCTAATAACAAACTCCGAGCGCCCAAAAAAAAAACCGATCCGAAGCTCCGCATCGCGTCGTCTACTACTCTACTCTAAACCCTAGATTCAGATCAAAACCACACCCGCGCAAGGCGCCCGATCCCCCCGAACCAAACCCTATCCCAAAATCGCACCCAAACGCCCCCCGAATCGAGCGGATTCCCGGAGAATTCCCTCGAAATCGCGCGGATTGGGGGAGAGAGAAGGAGAGGGGGGAAGGGGGAAGGGATCGTACCGACGCCTCGGGGCTCGCCTCGATCTCGAAGTTGGTGCCCTTCAGGGTCTTCACGAACAGCTTCATGTCGGCGACGTCGCCTTCTCCCACCTCGGCGATATCCCTATCCCCGACTCTGCCTTCGCGAGGGTTTGGACTTTCTCCTCCCGGTTCGCTCGCGGCGGCGACGACGACGACGAGGAGAGCGCACGGGGCGAGTAGTGGTAAAGTTTATAGGGGCGAGAGAGGAAACGAAAAAAAAAAATCTCTTAGTCCCCCAATATCTCCCGGACATCACGGGGCCCGATCCTAACCCCTCTCACTTACGAGTGGGACCCACTGGGATATGGACCCACCTGGCAGTGGGTGGTACGGGTAGGCGGACGGGGTGGGGAGGGAGACGAGCAGCGTTCGGTGGGCGGATCCGGTGCGGCGTGCACGCGTGTGGCGTCTGGTGGTTGGGGGTTGGGATACATGTGTATGGGTAGTTGAAGCGGTGGTGCGTGGGGTTGTGCGGCGTAGGGGATCCGAGGAGATACTTCGCAGCGGAGGAATGGATAGATGCCGGGTGGGAAAAGGTTGTTGGGGTTGGAGAGCGAGAGCGAGAGATGGAGAGAGAAAGTGGTTTTCCCCCGGAGAAGGCGTAAAATCTGGGTGCGCCGGCGGAGGAGCTCCTCCGGTGAGAACCTGTTTTTTTTTTAAAAAAAAAGGAGTATATGCATTTTACTACGGGATCGCCTGGAGACGTCGTCCATTCTGGTTAGCAAGGGTTGCTATGGAAACTTTGAGCAAATAGCCTTTGCCTCTTCTCCTCCCTGAGAAGTGAGAATATACTGAAATAATGTCAACGGTGGTAATGGCATCACCCACCAGCTTTATCAGCTATCGCACGCGATGGTGGACATGATCCCGTCTGAAACATGATAGTAGTTTTAGTTGGAGGAACTTTTCTGCCTCACATTTTAGTGTACACTGTGTACTTACAAGGATGTGTTTGTATGCAGATACTCTTAAGAGCACCATATTAGTTTTTATTTTGCACAAATTTATGAAGGTGTAATGAGGAGAAAGAATACATTCATATTGCATATCGAAATTTAGAGATTACGGTTATGCATATTTTTGTCAACTTTGAATGAAGATTTTGTAATAGGATTGATGTCTCAGTAAGTTGTATCCCTTCTTTTTGGTGGCGGAGTGGTTATTTATATTCCATTTCATCTTATGGTAGCTACCTTTTTGGAATATAAACCAATAATTATATAATAATTGGTTGTAGCTTCGGTTGTAGTGAATGTCGGATTTCATCCATTATCTAAAAGTCACTTCTCTAGCAGGTTTAACTCTCTGGGCTCCTTTCAAACATGTGATTTTGATAACGCAAGAACATAAAAAAATGTATAAATAGGATGTTGTATAGGATTCTAAACCATAAAAATACCAGAAGTAGATTTCATAAAACTACGTATACTTCGATCAAACTATCATAAAACTATATTTAAGATGTTGATCACAAAACTATATATTTAGCGTAAAATTTCTCACAAAACTATATATTTAAGATGGAGTGTCACAAAAATAAAGAATAAGTAGCAATTTTGATTATCATAAAACTAAAGGTTTGGGCAATTTAATCACAACACTATAATTTTATAGCTCCAATATAACGATAGTGCTAGGATTTAAGTTCTAGAATATGTAGTTTTGTGATAACTTCAATATTAAATATATAGCTTGTGATAATTTTGTCATTAAATCTGTAGTTTTGTGATTTATCTGTAATTTTTGCAATAAGTTAATCAAAATATGTAGTTTTATAAAATTTATTCAAATACTAGGGGTAGTGTATCTGAGTAATTTACAGGAAATCTAACACTGGAACTTTGTGGAACTAAAGAGAGAGAGTGAAAGTTCGTTGGACTTCTCAAAGGAAATGAAAACATGAGATAGGACCACAATTACCAAACCAGACGGTGAAGCTTTAAAGCCCACACTTGTTAGCAATAGTGTCTCAGCCCATAGCTTGGCATGCATGAGGCAAATATTTGGGCTAGCTTTTCATAGGAAGTTTGAGCCACATATGTGTAACTTTGCCCCTCTTCGTTTAACATTAGACGAAGTGGAATGAGTTTATAACTTTATATAGCTCAGTTAGGCATATTGGCTCTACAGCAGATTAGGGAAGTGAAATTTGATTCCACTTGCTTGCGTCAAATTTAGGTGCGTAAGTAAACTTTAAATAAAAAAATTGAAGTCTAAACCCTATCTAAGAAATGCAACATAAAGTATCCATTTATTTTATTTCTCAATGTTTAAACTTAAAGATGCTACTTTTCCTCCTTTCATGTGTGAACATTTCGTTCATAATAATAAAGAGAAAAGTCATGTGTTTGCTTGTGTTGGATCATGGGTGTCCTAGGCAACTAGCCTTTATAGAACACTGGCCCTCTTGCAGTTCTTTCACCATTAAATGATATATTTCCCATAAAAAATTACAGAGAGTATAATCAACTCTAACTATTGTTCACGGAATCAACCAAACATATATGTGTTTCTTCAAGGTTCACTACTAGAGAAATCATCTTTGTTCATGGTTTATAAGCGCAACGGAATGTGATTTTTAGTCCCGGTTCACTTGTTGTCAGGGGCTATCAGCCCCCCCTATCTTTAGTCCTGGTTGGTGTTATCAACCGGGACTAAAGTTAGCTTCCTTTATATATGTCTTCTTCCAGCCTGAGCTAAGCTTCAAAATTTCTTGAGGAGGAGGGAAGGTGCTGCCAAAATTTATTGTGAATTTATTTTGGTGATAATATACAAATTGGAGGCGTCTAAAAGGTTAGCAACTTCATCCTCCAATGTTTTTTGCTTAGCATATTACATTTAGAGATATGTTTTGCATACATTATTGCCTCTAAAAACTTTGATGGAAGTTGATGAGAAAGAAAATTTGTGTAGGGAGGAAAGAATATAGAATTTTTGTTTATGTAGAATTTTATAAAATGTTTTGATAAAAGAGTTGAGAAGGAAAAAATATTGAAAATTAATCTAAGAGAACAGAAAAAAAGTTAATTTAAAACTAAAATAAGTACAACACATTAAATATGTGTTTGCAACAATAAAAATAATTAAAACAAGAATAATATGTGGGATTATTTTATAATTATTGTATGAATAATTATATACAATTATTGTATGATTGTTTAATTGGTTTGACTTTTGTTGATTATTTTTACGATTTTTGTGTATTTCATGTAGATGGATCGGCAATGGATGTACGCGGACCGACGGTCAAAAGAGTTTATTGATGACGTGCATTATTTTTTGAGAGTGGCTGATGCTAACAAGCATAAGGGTTTTATCTGTTGTCCATGCAATAAGTGAAAAAACCAGAAGGAGTATTCTACATTAAGAACTATTCATTTCCACTTATTTGAGTCGGGGTTCATGCCTAGTTATAATTGTTGGACATCGCACGGAGAGCAAGGGGTTGAAATGGAAGAAGATGAAGTGGAAGACGACAATATTCCGGACTTTGCTCAGTACGCTGGATTTGAAGGAAATCAAACGGGTGAGGAGGAAAGGGATGCTGATGGTAACGACGTTGCTGATGATCTTGGTCAGATGTTGCAGGACGCCAAGGAGGACTGCGAAAGTGAAAAGGGGGCCCATAAATTGGACAAGATGTTAGAGGACTACAGAATGTCGTTGTACCCAGGTTACTAGCAGGGGCACAAAAAGTTGGATACCACTCTGAAGTTCTTGCAATGGAAGGCAAAAAATGGTGTTAGTGACAAGGCATTTGGCGATTTATTGAAACTCGTCAAGAACATTCTTCCGGAGGGAAACAAATTGCCCGAGACAACGTACGAGGCTAAGAAGATAGTCTGCCCTCTAGGACTAGAAGTTCAGAAGATTCACGCATGTTCGAATGATTGTATCCTATATCGCGGTGAGGAGTACGAGAACCTAGAAGCATGCCCTGTTTGCAAAGCACTACCATACAAGATTAGACGAGACGATCCAGGAGAAGTTGACGGGCAGCTAACGTAGAAGAGAATTCCTACTAAGGTGATGTGGTATTTCCCTATAATACCACGGCTAAGGCGTTTGTTCAGGAACAAGGGGAATGCTAGAATGATGCGATGGCACGCTGAAGAGCGTTAACAGGATGGGATGCTGAGACACTTCGCTGATGGTTCGTAGTGGCGAAACATCGACAGAAAATTTAAAGACTTTGGAAAGAACGAACGAAACATACGGTTTGGTTTAAGTACAGATGGCATGAATCCTTTTGGAGAGATGAGCAACGGCCATAGCACTTGGCCCGTTACGATGTGTATATACAACCTCCCCCCTTGGCTATGCATGAAGAGGAAGTACATAATGATGCCGATTATTATTCAAGGTCCCAAGCAACCTGGTAACGACATCGATGTGTACTTAAGACCACTGGTCGAAAATCTTAAACTGTTGTGGAAAAAGGAAGGTGTCCCCATGTGGGACGAGGACAAACAGGAGGAGTTTAACCTACGAGCGCTGCTGTTCGTAACCATCAACGATTGGCTTGCACTTAGCAACCTTTCCGGTCAGTCCAATAAGGGGTACAAGGCTTGCACTCACTGTATGGATGAAATAGAAAGTACGTATCTTAAGCACTGTAGGAAGGTTGTGTATATGGGTCATCGTCGATTCCTTACTGCAAACCACCCGGTACGGAAGAAAGGCAAGCACTTTGAACATAAGGCGAACCACCGTACGAAGCCTAAACATCGCAGCGGGAAAACAGTGTTTGCTATGGTTAAAGATCTTAAAGTAGTGTTCAGAAAGGGGTCTGGAAGCCAGCCTATAGAGAGCGAAGATGGTCACGCGGCGATGTGGAAAAAGAACTCTATATTTTGGGAGTTACCCTATTGGGAATTCTTGGACGTCCGCCACGCAATCGACGTGATGCACCTCACTAAGAACCTTTGCGTAAACCTTCTTGGCTTCCTAGGTGTATATGGAAAGTCGAAAGATACACTGGAAGCACGTAATGATCTGAAGCATATGGAACAACGCGGCGACCTTCACCCGGAACCAAAGGAGAAAGGAAGCCATTACTTGAGTCCAGCCAGCTACACTCTTAGCAAGGCAGAGAAGGAAAGTATATTTGAATGCTTAAAGAGCATAAAGGTACCGTCTGGATACTCCACGAATATAAAGCGAATAATAAGCACGAAGGAGAAGAAGTTCACAAACCTAAAGTCTCATGACTGTCACGTGTTGATGACACAA